AATGATGGTCAGACATAGAATCTATTTCAGTAGAAGATCGATAAGGAAAGAACGGGAATGGAACGCAATTGGTATGAACAACAGAATCTGAGACTGATATTCGCAAAAGGGACGATCAAATTCGAGACGATGGATTGATACTTTGTAAATTAACTATTTACTGTATAGTTCTCAGATTTTAGTGAGATACTCTGTAATTTTGTGTCACATACATTCGATTGTCCCCACTCGTGTCCCTGTTCACTACATTGCGTGGGAGATGCTGGGTTAGATTCATAACAGATGTCCAGGTTACTGAACCTAGTGTTTCAGGATGACGACAATCACTGAATTCTCGTCATTGCGTCCCAACTCTCATTGTTGAACGTCATTATTACCAACATGGTGTTGCCATCAAATATCATCACTTCAGAGGAGTCGGATTGTTCTCATGGAACTATTGTAAACCGAACCCTTCACAGTTAAACTAACACCACAATAGCACCAAAACGATCTAGATCAATGTAAGCTGACATGACTTTTACTATATGTAGATTGATTCCATCACTTACACCCAACCCACCATCAATACTCGTACAACTATCGAGATATGGAATTTTCACTACACATTTCCATCCGTCATATAGAAGCCAGTGAATGTAATAATACTTAACAGTCGAAATGGCATTACGACTTCTGTTTTCAGAATGGGTTTTGTGGAGAGTTTTAGAAATTTCACAGGTTGAAATCATGATTCAAGTGAAATTTCTAAAACTCTCCACAAAACCCATTCTGATAATAATAATCACCTGCTCACTAGTGACTGACTTCAGGAAAAACTCCAGGAGTTCTAGTGAGAAGCCGTTACCAGTGGACTTCAACCAGGTCTGTTGGGAGATAACAACTCACTGAAGACAATAGTGTACGGTGGCGCAAATTCGTGGATTGGTTGAAGTTAGACATTAACACCGATGGATGCCGGCTCAATGGTCTAGTGGTTAAGTGCTCGCGCGCGAAGCCAGTAGGTCCTGGGTTCGAACCCCGCGTGGTGCGGGATCGTGGATGCGCACTGCTGAGGAGTCCCATACTAGGACGGGTCGGCCGTCCAGTGCTTCCAGGTTTTCTATGGTGGTCTAGCTTCAATCGACTCATGATTTCGACTTCTGTTTTATCACCTAACTTAATTTGAAACTTTCGAATCTCATGTACACCTTCCTGTTTCTTTTTTACAGAGGCTACTGGCGTTGAAATTGACTACCGGCCTTTTATTACGTCTACCCCATCCGAATACAACGCAATTATTTGATATGTTCTCACTAAATACTCAACCTTCAAGTGGTTCTGACAATCAATCAGATGAAAATCCATCCGTTGAAAAACAAGTTCCAGCTTATTTCGCCTACTTAAGATCTGCTTCGAAATTAATAAGTCGAGAATTCCGTCAGCGTGAACGATTAGCTTTTACAGCAGCTTCATCGTTAGCTTCAGCTGTCAACGATGATACAACAGATATTGGCGCTAGAATACGACTACGTGGTATGCATCTTTCTAGAGAACTTACGGTCAGAGCGAAATCAAGACAAAGAAGAGCACAGGTGGGTTGGATGGACGGTTTTTATTTTCTGTATCGTTTACTGTGTGATGTGCATTCGAGTATACATAATTGAACAACTTAAAGGGGAATTCTCAGAATCCTAGTTCAACCATGTTGAGAATGAGATAAGCATCACTGATAAAAAGTGATGGTTGCCACACGACATCGCAAATTCCGGATCACAGGGACTCAATGGTATAAAAGTTACACACTTGACTCGATGTCTGGAGATTGTAGGTTCAACCCTTACAGGAAATCGTGGATGCACACCACTGAATCCCCATACTAGGGCAAAAAGACTGTCTAGTGCTTCATGTTTTCCGATGTCATTCTCAGATGTAGACTATTTTCTAACCATCTTATAAATTTGTGAGTTGATATATTGTTTCCTTTCGTTTGTTTTAAAGGCTCGCCTTCGTCGTGCACTCATGTCAGGTACAATTAGACCAGAGAGTGCGAACAGTCTTGTTGCCTCTGTATCAGCTGGAATGGCAAAGGCAGGACCTGATCAATTAGTTGAATTAATTGAGTCAACTGAATCTGCTCTTACCCAAGAACTTGGTGGTGGAAATCACCAACTCATTCAAATTATATGCAGTCGTGCATCGTTAGGCGCTCGTGCTATTCGAGAACGACGTAATTTGCATAAAGCCACTCGTAATGCTCTTGGCATGGCATGGAATGGTCCAGTAAAAAAGAAATCCAAGCTACTAGATGTAACATCTCAACCTTTGGAAATGAATAATTCCAGTGAGAACGAAATTCACACATCTAATCGGTTGCAAAAAAGAAAATTATCTCCGAATGAAGGTAATCTATTTTGTATGTTCTGAATGGTTCAGTCGAATGTAATCAGACTGATTAGTATATATATAGCTAGTTGAAATGCCTATTCCTCTGCTTCAGTTTAGGCAACCGTAAATCATGACTCAGTCAGTCATACGCAATGTATAACATCCACATGTGTAAATCGTTTTAAGTTGCCACACACTACTGGCACATCGAGATGATATAGTCAGAGCGAATTCCACAGTAGTAGATGTAGTTGTAATAGAAAAGATTATGCATCGAAGGTGCGATGCGAGAAAGTACAAATTATCAAAATAAACAAATGTATGGAAAATTTAAAGACTTACGATCTACAGGAAGGCAAAATGCGAATGGACTCACACCATTTCAGGTGCGTTACCTAGAAGCTCCAGCCATTGGTCACGACAATGATACGGACTCGAACCAAATAATCTGCACCTACCTAAATGACTTAGTCTAACTGGTGTGCCGTCATAGTTTTCTTACATTCTACTCTTACACCAATTAGTGGATGGACATAAGTATCACATGCCCTGGCCATGTTAGTCGATAAAAATTCGCTACCTGTTACGACTTTTACCCCGTTAACTATTACTTGACTAAATCACCAATTAGAACACCACTTACACGACCTTAACTAGTACTCTGTGTTTAACTTCAGTATTCCCAACTCGGTAGTTCCAATGTGTAAGACACCTATGATCGAACGACCTACGAATATCATCGACTTCCAAGGGCCATGTTTCACAATCATAAAGTAGAATGAAACAAACTACTGTACAGTAAACTCGTCCATTGGTCGGTTGACAGTTATCTCACCTACGCTATGAGTGACCCAAGTTGATAAAAACCTGCCGAGATTTCTGAATTTCTATCGCGATTTCATCAGACATCATAACTAGTCACTGCACTTAAAGCGTAACTCAAAGCCGATTGTCAAAAAGCTTGTACTTAGGTAGATTCAAGTTACATGAGTAAATTTGCGTTCGATTCACTCTCTGTTTGTTTTAGAAGATGAGATTCACATTTCATCAGTTTGATGTTCATTGGATGAATATCTACCACATTTTATTACAGAACTATTTAGCAGCAATGTACAAACTACTAAATATACTTAAGTTGTGATCCATAGAGTGTTTGATCGTTAAACTGCTTGGTCAGTGTTAGTTATAACTAGGCGGAGAGAAGTACAGCCATATTATCACTATCATTCGGTAGTGACCGAATGGAGTCCATCAAATGGAACTAAGTAATTCCCTTTTTGTTTTCTTTTACATCTCTGTAGAACATAATCAAAAAGCCACACAGCACAAGAAAACGAAAAAAGCGCGAACAAGTTTGTGAAAGCATTTTGTAATCCTGTATTTTTTTCTTGTCTACAATAAATATAAATCAATCAATTGTGAATTTGTGCTTCTGTTATGGTGTAGTACAATTAGTTTCACTAGGAACAGGGTTTTAGTATTAGGTTGTGGAAAACCGACCACCTTTGTGATTTTCTAACCAAAATACACTATTACTTCTGATAAACGAATTATAGTCATCCATCTGACAATCATATCTAATACTGCTTTAAAATGTGCGATTACATAACCATATCTCTGTTAATTATACACCTTACAAATAACATTACCTGATGACTTGCTGACTAATGCGTGTCTAAAAAGTATAGACTTTTTAATTATACTCTGCCGAACGATAATGCATGATCTGTGGTTCGAAATCTTGAAAAGTATGACTAAGATTTGTTTACAGTAGTGCAGTTGCATCCGTGATGAGATTCAATGGCACTTTATTGTACGACGCTTGATACAATAAACAAAAAGAATCACCACCAGTCAGGAATGCAAACTATCAAAATCTTTTGTTTTTAAAATATATTTAATACTGGTCACATATTGACGTGATATAGCTCAGAATTAGTCATCATAGGGTAGATGCATTCAGACCAATGCTTTATCTACTGAGATGGCTGCTAACTTGTTCAGTGGGTATGATGCTTATGTTTTTTATTAGTAAAGGTTCGAATTATTTTGTTTTTGATATGCAGGACTGGATTTTGATCAAATTTTGTTGGTATATGTGCGGATTACTTCGATATAGCCAGTTTGTCACAACTTTTTTCGACGATGGATTGTTGCTAGTAGCGGAATCTAGGACGTGCAACTATTAATAAAGAGATAATCACTGTAGATTATATAAACCATAAGAAAGAAATAGTGGTTCATATTCAGTGCATGACTTAACAAGAATGTTACTGAATATTATCTACAATAATTTACAGCTGTCTTCATCAATACTTTAATATCCAAGAGATTCAAGCTACAACATTGGAACTTTGTAGTATTATTCTCGTTTTCCGGTATTGTAATAACCTTGAATAAATATCCGCAAAACTAAAAAACCATTGCACAAAGATAAACGATAAACAACGGATATAATGTGGTCAGTGGTAGAGAGTCCAAGATGTACATTTCTCCTAATTAAGATTTTTTCGACTGAGGCACCAACAATGGGACAAGCCAAATCAATTCAAAACAAAACATTGTAAATCAACAAATTTAGTTTTTGCTAAAATCTACATAGAGATGCACATTATCAGTTAATAAACATCTCGTTAATCCTTGATGATAAACTCTGAATCCTTGAAAATATTTTTAAAGAATACATTCAATGAATTTTATTTAACCTACTTCAAATAAAAGTGGTCCTTCAAGATCTTTATCACGTAAATGTAGAAAGAAGTCTTGTTTAAATCGAAATAAACTAGGTGGAGACCACTAAAATAAAATGAGATAAATAAAAATTCCAATGGGAAAAACTTACTCTACCAAGAAACGCATAATTAGTTACACTTAATAAAGGTGGAATAGCAAATGTTATTCCGGTTACTATTGAAAGCGCTGGAAGAATTTCATACCACATAACGGTGAAGATTACTAAAACAAAGAAAGTAACAGATAACCATTGAAATGTACAATTACTATGAACTTATTTATTTTAACACATAGACATTGGTACAAGGAGGCACCAAATACATATGCGCCATACAAATCTCATTCGATATGTGTGAGGGCTGTGATACGGCCCGGATGCCCAAACCGAAGCAGGTGGTTTTCTTGGGGGGCCACTCCCCGAGCCTTCGACCTGAAGGTCTAATCCACAAGGCAGTGGAGCATTGTAAGGAGATGCAGTCCTATGGAAGCCAGTGACCAACAATTGGTTCATACGTCATTTGTTCCCGCAGGATACTGGAGCCCATGTGCACCATTGGTTTGGAATCCGGTTAAAGCGCCGGACATTCGCTTTTCGTCCTCTCATTATTGTAAAAAACACCCCCGCCACGAGAAGGCAGTGAGTAGGACTTCCCTGGCAGAAGGTATATACGCATGGCCATGTGAGAGCATTTGGAGAGGGAGAGCGGACTCCCCCCACTCTCGACCGTACCTACTGGTTAAGAATGTATAAATATGCACTAATTCACAGTAACTAGTCAATGTCAACAATTATCTGATGAACAGATTTCCTTTGGTTGGATTTCCTACAAAGTCATAGGTGCGTACTGTTGAAGAGTTCGGAGCGAGGAGGAATGAACAGTTTAGTGGTCCCTTATTTTTTGTCAGCGTTTCTCCGGATGACATCAATTCCCGATTGAAGATTTCTTTAAATAATAAGGATAATGAATGGTTAGAGAACAAACATTCTTTAATGATCTGAAGGATAAGTCAGTCAGCCATACGCAACAAAGAAACTGACATATACGCCCATCAGTTTGAATAGCCATGCCATATTAGAACGAAGATAAAATCAAAAGATTAGTATTTGAACGAAGAATATTCTTTTCGATAAATTCTCTTCAGGTTTTACAAGTTATATAACCAAATTAATAATCCGAAAAATGGCCAGGTTAAGGGCAAAGTATATCGTTTAAAGCATGTGAATTTAGGATTGTGATATACAAAATACAATAAAATTGTTAATGTTAATATAACTCATGTAGAATGTAAACTTGAATCAACTTATATGTTAAGTAAAATTTTAAGACCCATGATCAGAATAAATATGGGTCAAACAGGATGAGAGAGAAATAATAGTGCAATTACAATTCGATCAAATAAGTATAATGACGAGGATCTTTAAAAGATAAAATTATTTCAAAATAAATCCCTGAGTAATAGAATTGCTAACAATATCAGTAGTAAAGTAGAAAAGATTAGGAATAGGAAAAATGATATAAGGCAGATCCATAACTCAGACTCTAAAGCAAAACGTCACTGTGAACCATTCTAAGCCGTATCACCAAGTCTAACCATTGGTTAAGATAATCACGCGGACTCCAACTAGGTAAGTAGTTTACGGTTATTAACACGGCTCGGCGCAACTGTCAGTGACCCTACGAACTGTACTATATCGATTTGAATGCCTCTAACTTTCTTCAGAACCAATACACCGCCACTTTATGTAGACGGTGGTTAGACATAAGTAACGCATATCTCAACTATTTCAACCTCATTGTAATATTTACCTATCACATGTCTAATCTCGGGGTCACAAACTTGGTGGTCCAAAAATACATGAGCGATACTTTGAAGACGCACCATCGAATACTAATAATCTAGTGATACCCTGTTCATCAAAACTGTTCACCAATTTGTAGAAAGAACTAGTCCAAACGTAGCTTCATCTGTGAACAGATAGAAATTTGGGCTAGAACAGCAATACACTAGCAGTAGTTAGTAAACAGGACGGTTCTTCTCAGCCACGACTAGCCGTCTTCTGATAAACGCACTAAAACGTATACTTTTTAGATATGACTGATACAACCAAGAGCAATGAGCAACCCCCTTTTCCTTTCGTCCAGCAGCACGTTTATAACCAAAACAATGAATATTATTTATTTGAACACATTGGTACGGAGGAGCACCGAATACATATGCGCCACACAAGTCACTTGATTTGTGTGTGAACTGTGATACTACCGGGGTGCGCAGACCAAAGCAAGTGGTTTTCTTAGGGTGCCACACCCCAAGCCTTTGACCTAAAGGTCTAATCCACTAGGCATTGGGGCAGCGTTATAAGATGCAGTTCCATGGTAAACGGTGACCAATAATTGTTTCATACGCCATTTGTTTCCTTAGGACCCTGAAGCCCATGTGCACCGTTGATTTGGAACCAAGGTTTTCCAACTGCCCTAGGTGAGTCCTCCATATCCACCGACCCGGTCAGGTATTCTCTTTTCTTCCTCTCAATTTAGCAAACAACACCAGTGGTTCGAGGTGGTGAGTAGGACTTCCCTGGCAGTGGCCGTATACACGTGGGTATGTGAGAGCATTTGGAGAGGGAGCCAACTCTTCCCACCCTCGCCGGCATCAGGACATATGGTAAGAACGTTTTTATAAGTTATATTTTTTGTTCACGCTATTTATATATTTCAGAGTGCTATACTATGCTTTGAATTAACATTGACCTAGATACATCGAAGTTTATTTTTTAAATCGTTCTCAGTATATGCTTTCACTGGTGACAACTCTATTATTCATTTTTACTTCACATTATCGAGTCGACTATTAAAGAGGCTGATTGGAATATGCAATGAGATCACTTATGTCTTACTTCCACAACGGGAATGATAAAACAGAAAGAATCAACACAAGTACGAAACCTGTCACCAATAACAACATCCACTTATGTGCACTGATTTGGTTAAATATTAATCAAATCCTGATTTTATTCACCTGATTTTCAACTCCTTTTTTGATTCAATGAAGATTATGCTAGGTCTTCATATATACTTAGTTATTTGAGGGATTCAAAATGAAATTTAAAGGAATATTTTCCTAAACAAACCTACCAGTCTGATAACTTGAACACGTTTGATTGGGTACTCATAAAAGTTTATTTTAGATAATGATACAGACCAAACAAGGTTATACATCATTAACTTATTACTTTCTATTCCTCCTTGATGAATTTTACATATACGAAATTATGCCACCCATTGTTCCTTAGCAATTCCATTGGGGACTACCGTTTGTCAATATGATTTGTCTCTGTAGGAAAGGACCTACTCGGTAACATGAAGTTAGCAGAACAAAGAGTAATAAATACTTATCAAAAGAATCTAGTGAGAACGTCTGAAATAAAAATTAAACCATAATAGAGGGTAAATCGAATGAGCCAGGAGCTGGACGCGAGAAAGGACGCCAGAGTTCGACTAGTTAGAGACACTTATTCTTTTTTTACTGTCTACTAATTATTTGCTCTTATTGTGTCCGATTTCCTTGTCTTTATGAAAACTCAGATACAGTAACGACGAAAATACCTTCAAGTGAATCAAACTCAAAATTTCTGACCAATCACAATCCTATTTACTTACATTCGGGTTTCACGAGTGATAACTAAGAACATAATCAATGTGTATACAGACATTCTGATATATATAGAGATAATCTTACAGGCAACTAGCCGTGTTCGTTAGCTATTTCGAAAAGAACTAAGGCGAAACAATCTTCCTACATACAATCCATAAGTTGAAGTGCAAAAATAATACTGTGCAACTATACAATAACACGTCCCAACTACTAACATTAGAAAGCTCTTGAACGCGCCCAGAACAAGGGTTTAGAATTGTGCGGGCCACTTCAATATCCAATTAGAAATGTATTCAATGTGAGATAACCGAACTGTATAGATAAGGGTGAAAACTGTGTGATCTGCGAAGTAGTTACTGATATTTCGTTATGCAAATAGTAGTCAGTTGTAAAACATGAATCAGGCATAGACAGTCTAAGATGGAGATGATAATCCATAGGGTTTGTCAAGTTTTCACTTGAGCGCATATTTGGGTGTTCGCTCTTTGATTTGCAGTCTTTCGACAGCTGTCTTGAGGGGTTTGGTGATGATGTCTTGGTAGTATGTCAAACGTAGATATAACGAACTATATGTTTTTTAAATAAACGATAAGGCTTTTGATCATGGAGATATATTCTGTTTGTTTTATTCTCTCGGATTATTCAGGACAAAAAAGTTAATTAATAGTTACAACGATGATGGAATGACGTGTAATAACGTCTTACTGTAAATGATTGCTGATGTATCAGTCTACAAATGGGGATTTATGAGTATCCGTAGCGAATCCTAGCCCTAACCTTATATTATCTCTTGAGACAGTTGCGGTTTCATTTTTGGAGGAAGAACTCCATCTAAGAAGCTGTAAGAGGAGAAGGGGTTAGATCGCCTGCCGGTTTTGGGGTTTTGATGGGAAATTCTTCGAGGATAACCTTGACGATTGCATTAGAAACCGTTTTAAGAATTACTATGTCAGGAGGGAATATGCTATTCAGTGTATTTTAGAGCATGCTAAAGCAGGATATTACTTTTCTAGAGCCTGGTGGAAGTAGTTCTGACTGAAGGAGTCAGAGTCTGTACCTAGCATCCTGTTGCACACTGACTAGCTCAAATTCATGGTCCTACTCTCCATACTCTTGAAAATCTATATAGAATCGAATGTCGTCATGTCGTAATAGACTGGGAATGAAGGTTTCAGAATAGTAAATAGTCGGAGTTTAGCAGAGATTTGTAGCAAAAGCATGTGATTACAACCGGATATTCGCTCTTTCACGGATATTTCAACAGACATTTATTTGTGAAGCAGATACTTTGAGAAATAAGGTCTCCTATGTCGTAAAAAATATCAAATTACTTTTAGCTGTTACGTTATTGTGCGAAAACAACAACACACTTGCAGTCACCCCACACTCGATTAGGTAGTTCAATACGTAGCATATTTGTTACTTTACATGTGTTTTCAACGGGGACTTTTCGGTTATCTTACGGTTGATAGCGTCTTAAAAGGAAGTTTATGTATGAAATATTGTTATGTAACTAGAATATTTTGGAACAACTGAACTGTTAATATAACTGGATGTCGCGCTGTGAACCGAAGCGTAATTGTCTGCTGAAACAACACTTATATGTCAACTTATTAAAGGTGAAGTCTAATCAGGTCAGTTTGCTCTTTAACTTTCTGCGTTAAAGTTGACAACAGGTTCTTATTCCCTACGGAGATACCTAATAGCTACGCAGATCTGTCTATTCAGACCATCATCAAATGTATATTGGCTAATGAAAAATAGCCACTAGCTGCAATTCCTAGAAGGACATTCCCTGAACACGGAATGATCATGAAATTTAGCACGAGCATATAAATCACCAAGATTACTGACAGTACAATATATAGACGACGCAGTTCAAAAAATGGTCTGTACAACCGTTTTAAAATGTTGAGTGATCATGTATATTTTCGGCAAATAAGTGTAAGATCCAAACTACGGAATGGACTGTTAATTGGACTTCCCTCCATGTATATACTTGCCCCTTGTTTCTATTGATCCCCTTAGTTGTACATTGTTGTCTTTTGATTACATTTGAATTGTTAATATTTGTATTTTATTACAGTTTTATTCTTATTACGCCTTCACTAAGTTTTCGTGTTTCTTCCCGAAATGCATCAGTGTTGTTTTACTTGCCACTTGTTCTTGGCGGTAGCCATATTGATTTGATCCTCCTTTTGTGTGTGTTCTATCCAGTCAGGATAGAATAACGTTCATTTGTTGTGATTGGTAATTTTCCCTCATCTTTCATCAACTACTTTATTTATTGTAATTTAGATTTTATTGATTGAACAATTATTGGTTGAATAGCCGGGTGGTAATATTTGTTTAGGTAACGATTTACATTTAAATTTATGATGAATTATAGAACCGCTATTTACCCGATTACTTGTTTTGATTTCGACGGGAAAGGGCGCGTGTCTAACGTACCTGGAAGGCTATTCAGCAGTCCAAACCGTAGTTTGGATCTTACAGTTCTAAGCAAATATTTTGGTCGAATTCGTTTGGCTTTCGTTTCATGGATTCCAATCATTGTCTCTGGGAATATTTGGTCGTTCGTTCGCGATGCCGAACAATCGTCAAAGGAAGTCAAGATCAAAGCTCGTTGGTGTTAATGATGAATCCCCTATTACCAACAAAGTGCATTTTGATGTCCTTAAGTGTCATGGTTCAGACTCGAATAGGATTGATTGTCATGATAGTGACTCTAGTTTTAATTCGAGGTTAGATGACGTAGAAAAGTCTTAGTTTGAAGGAGAAGCAAGGGCTTGAATTGTTAAGAAAGAGCGTTTTACCTATAGCGCCTGTTGTTGGTCTAGAACTACCAAAGGTTGAATTGGGTTATTTCGATAGTCAACCAAGAGGTTATTGGAAGTTTTTAAGGGAGTTTGAGACCTATGTAGAATCAAGGGTTAAGAATGATGGTCAACGTTTGCTTCATTTGATACATTATTGTAAGGGTAAGGCGAAAACAGCCATTGAGGGTTGTGTTATGTTGGAAGCCTCTTTTGGTTACAAGAAGGCCAAGGAAATTCTAAAACGTTTGTTCGGACAGGCGCATGTAATCGCTCGGGAGACTTTAGAGGACTTATTCAAAACTACAAATGTTGATTACAGTGATCCTGAGCAACTAACAAATCTAGCTATTAGGATGGAAAATTGTTCTATGGTTTTGAAACAGATGAAGTATACTGCCGACTTAAATTCTCTAATTACCTTAGAGAGAATAGTAGGACTCTTACCTCAAGTTATGCAAGCCCAGTGGGCGGACTGGGTGGATGAATTGACTGAAGATAATAGAGAACCAACCTTTGACGAGCTTACTCAATTTATAGCATCCCGCGCGAGAGTAGCTAATAGTAGGTTTGGACGGTTAGCGAATCGTCCGAGAAAGGGACACAACTTAAAGCCGTCTTATTCAAGGCAAAGTTCGCGTAAAACGGCGATGATGTGGCATCGAATGGATGAGATGTCATGTGAAACTCGGATGGTTCCCTCGACATGTCTCCCTCCTGCCAGCACAGAAATCTTAAAGCTCCTCGATCAGATTCAGGGACCTTCACTTGCACTCTTCCAGAATTGGAATTGTTATAAAGCAACCAAATATTGTCTTTTGAACGAATCAGTTCATGGTGTATGCAGACAGGATAGAATAATATTTATTTTCGCATCCTTTATCAACTTCCTTATTGTGATTTCGATCTGAATAATTGAACAATTATTGGCTGGATAGCTGGGTGGTTATATTTGTTTAGGTAAAAATGTACATTTAAATTTATGATGAATTTCAGAACCGTCATTTTACCCAGTCACTTTGTTTTGGTTTCAACCGGGCAAGTACGCGTATCTAACCGACCTAGACAGTTATTCTTCAGTCCAAACCTTAGTTTGGATCTAATATGAGGAAAACGTCCAGGTTTTACTATCAGGTTTAAGTATTTAAATACTTTCAAGGATGCAAGCGGCTGGTGGACAAACTGAAGATAGCTAGTTCCCCTCATCTGTTAGCTGTGAAATTAAGAAACCTGGTGAACCAAACTGACGCACTTTATGCATGGAACAAGTAGAAGAAGTACCACCCCAATCACATCACATGTAATAGTCGATCCGAATCGATTGGACAATAAAATAAAATGTTCTGGTGTCAGTCGACCTCGATTATAAACCAAGAATATAGGACACGGACACTAGTTGTATCCTCTATGAAAGCAAAGCCAGCAGTGGCCAGTCACCATAGAATTGGACGACCCACTTTAAACAGAAATTTTTTGAAAAATCCAGAAACAGATGTCATTGTAGAGGAGCATCAGGTGAGGAGATAAACCATCAAGTGCATTTTAAGAGGATTAGAGGATATTTCAGGAGAGAACAGAAAAAATGCTCTCAATCGGATCTGAAGATCACAGTCATCACAGAAATATGTCTACTTCCAGATATCACGAATAACAAGAGCTTGTGAAGCATGGCAGTTTCTGATGCGACAGAACACATAGAACAGTAAGTGGAGTGTCCTCCCTACAATCTTGAAACTTAACCTGTCAAAATTTCATGTCATGAACATTCGGCCACATAGGATACAAACAATCCACGTTGTCCATGGAAATCCACTCCTAATTATCTCCTCACAGCGTGATCTAGGACTAGAGTAGCCAGATTTCGGATACTGGCTCAAATACATGGGGGACGCAATCGAGAAAAAATCAACCCTTCACTTTATGTGAAGGAGACTTAGATCAATCATCACAGAATTGCTCCTAACTCTTCTTAGAAAGTACACCTTGAATCCTATAACATTTTTGCTCTCCTTCTCTTCAAAAAGGACACAAATCTCTTAGACCGTGTACAAAGTCGAGAAACCAAGTGAGTGATAGGGGTAAAGAGTGGATACTACCAGGATAGACTTTAGCACCTGGGATTAGTCCCATTGAACTACAGGAGAATAAGAGGTGATCTGACGATGGTTTGCAACACATTAAGTACCCTAAGTCACCCCTGCGCGAACATGCTACCAGAACGTCATCACCACACTCCTCAAGATAACTCTCGAAAGACTGCAAATCAAAGGGCGAACACTTAGGCACGCTCCTACGTGTTTGATCTAAAAATGACCTCATTTGGAATACTCTCTGAGGCCTAAGTGCATAGCTTCAATAGGAAAATTGATGAACCATACTCACCTTTAAAGCGTCACCTCATTCTTGAACCAGTTTTCAGATG